TCTGCAATTTAATTGGTGATATTCAATCGGTAAAATATCTTAAAATTCGCTGTTTCTAATTTAATATTTTTTCCTACATGTACAATAAAAAAAATGAAAATTTATAATTACATATATATATACATATACGTTCGCAAACTATAATTATTGCTTGGTAAGCTGAACATCTTCAATTAATCATAATCTTATTAGAATCGTTAACTTTATAGTGTCTATCATGCATTTTTTTTTCAACGGTACGTGATTTAATTCACGACATTTTATTCTACAAACATGCATTTTTTTTGTAACGTCTTTTGTACTTTGCATTACCTTAAAAGCAAAGTGCACGTAATAGTTCTTTTGAAATTAAATTTTATTCTTTTTTTCTTTTCAAACTAAAATATATTATCAGAACTATTAAAAATTGCAGAACGTCATATAAAGTATAAATCATGTATTTATTTGTACATTAAATTTGCAAAAATTAAAAAAAAAAATGAATCTGTAAATTACTATATGTACATATTTTTGCATAAATATGTACATTCATACATATACACATATACGATTTTGTTAATAAAGCTCTCTCTCATCACCACTATTTCAAATTATGATAACAAAAAATGGCAAAACATAAAAAATTCTTGTTAATTGTATTTTAATAGCAATTATTTTTCAATAATTTACAACAACTTTCATTATTTTTTACTTTTTGATGTCACAATTAGAGATAGCAGTGATGAGTGAACAAGAGTCTTAATATTTTATTATTATCAGGAAGTCAATGAACTTTTTCCTTTTAGGGTGTAAACATGGAAAGCGAGAATTTCTTGTATGTATACATTTGTACATAATTGCACTTCACATTTCTGTTCTAGAGAAACAGTTACATAATCGATTCTCTGATTGAAACAATAAAGAAAAGAAAAACGAAAGAAAAGGGTGAAAAGTACGGAAAGATGAAAAAGAGTATTATTATACATATATTTTTCTCTTCTCTCTCCTCTGATTACATGACGCGTATTGAACTGTCAAAAGCAATCGAAATAGTCATGTTCTTTCAATTTATTTTTAGATATGCATATTAATTTAAGACATTGAGCACCGACGACGACATACACCGTGTGCCATAGATTTCCGAGATTTTCAGTGATATAACTATTGTAGCTAAAATAACTAATCAAGGTTCTCAAATTGCATAAAAATAATAATTTCCAAACATTAGATAGTTTCGGCTCCTGCGGTACATTTATAAAAATTGGTCGGCGCTCAATGTGTTAAAATTTCGAAATTTAGTCGAAAAATGAAAAGAAACATTTGAAAATAAGATAAACAATCTTAGAATTATTTGAATTGTTTGAAACGTTTAAAAATTTCTGCTCTTAAAATAAGGTAAATATTCGGACGTTGAAAAGTGAGAAAGCGAGTGCAAAAAGTACAAGCAACGCGAACAGATCTATTAACAAAGATAAGAAGCAGAAGGAGAAAGTGCATCTAAAGAAGGTGCATCTTGTCACAAAAATACGCATACAGAACGTCATTGGGCGAGGCGCATCACGCGACATTCGAAAACAGTGACATCATATAGCGCCACTAATCAGATTAACTGTTTTATTTCTTCCAGTTGTGGGAATTTTTATGTATTGTCTTCACAGATTTGTCTTCCACAGTATTCTTGCATCGCAAAAAGGACGAGCGACATTCCATAATAATGGATGTTTTTATATGATCATCAGTTGACAAGAATCGGAATTAAAATGCAAATAAGATTAACATTCAAGACAACAAGAGACGTCTAAAATCAGATAATCGCAAAAAGACGTTTTTTTTTTCATAAGACGATTTAAAGACATCTTTCACAATGGAGAATGTCATCTGTTGGACGACACACTGACGGTTTATTTCTCCTAATAGATCCGATTACACCAATATTATTTTAATTTGCCTAGACAGCACATAATATTTATGAAAAATATTTACAGAATATTTGTAAGATTTATTTCCAATATTTTGTAAATATTTTATGGTCTTCTAGATTGCAGATGATAAATATTTATCATAAATGCTATGAAAATATTTAATAAGATATTATAACTCAATTAAAAATATTTACTAGAAATATGTAATAAGAAATATTTATCTCATAAATATTCATAAATGTTATATAAATATAAAATATTTATATAATATTTCAAAAAATAAATAATTAAAAATATTTATGAATATTTATCATAAATATTCTACGCTATCAGAGCAAGGCTTTTTTTAAGTCGAAAGAGAGACAGAGAGGGAGAGATATCGAGTTTTAAACTTCGCTTAGAGTTGAAGTATCACTACGTGTTGATGCAATTGAATCCTTTCTCATCTTTTAAGTTTTGAAGGTCAGGAAGCCTAAAAATTACAACAAATTGAATATCGCTGAACTTTGTCCTCGATTCTTGTTTGTGTAATAGCTGATTGATCACTGATCAATATATAAGTATGAACTAGTATGAAAAGATATACATATTTCAACATACAAGAGCTAAAACGTGAAATCGATCCATTTTACAATCGCAAGACTGTAAATTTTTTAACATTTCTAACTGTCGTGTTTGATTACCTTATACGATTTTATGATTTACTTATAAGAGGACCGACAAATTCTCTTCGCTCCAGAACATAAACTAAAGTAACATTACAGCATCAAACTGGAAAAACCGGTATCTATCTTCATGTTAATGCATCATCAGTTACGTATTCAAACTGTTACTTAATTTTATTAATATCTTTGTTGTGTTTTTTCTATTTTTCTGTCTTATATTTATTTATGTGCATTTGATAATAATACAATATATATATAACTAGATTATATCAAGGTTTAAGATTTAACTTTGTAAGCCGCATTATATTACTGAAACTTTTTAAAGAATCATCCGTTACCTTTTTTTTCTTATATGTATACCATAAGGCACGATCTCGTTACGTATCTACACTATAAATTTTCAGTCTGGCAATAAATTTTGGAACACAGTCAAAACCTCACTACTAATGCTTCAAAGCATTTAATTAATTAAACAAAGAAAAAAAATTTTATTAATTGACCAATAAAAAAAATGCTTCAGGACAAATTAGCAACTGTAGCATCATGTTTACCGAACCTATAATCTATATCTCTTTCCACCTCATTAAAGCCATTATTATTATTATTATTAATTTATCATTTCTCTTTCAATAATATATGAATATATTGCAATACAATACATATTATATACATAATCATTACATTGTTAAGTAGGAAAAATTATAATATTGATCATACATGTAATATTACTGATAGTTTGTGTTCTACGGATTTCTCAGCGATTATGTGTCAGAATTAGACATGTCAATATCGAGCAAAAATATCGACCATAAATATATTCAGATATTTTAAAACTGTAATTTATATTCATTCCGAATGAATAGACATTATATCAAATATATCGCACAACAAATAGATTAAAAAAAAAATGCCACTTTCTTTTAGAACTTACGAACGAAGATATGTAACCTGATATTTAATCATTTGATGGAGGAAACTAGAAAAAACTCCGTTTACTTATAGTCCCAGTTCCTATACTCCCTATTACAAATTACAAACGGTAAATGAAACTCCTTCCTTTATGTCACAATGTACCGATTACCGAATGCATCCAAAATTCCTGAAATTTATTCATAAAAATGGAGAATGTGAATATGAATGGTAAAAAAATATCTAGTCAATATTTTATTCATAGTTTTTTATTCGATATTTTTATATTGAGCAGCAAAAAATATCGAATATTCGATATTATCGAATAGAGATAAACATCTCTAGCCAGAATTATTGTGAGTGCTTAAAATAATAAAATTATTACAATCAACATATTCCTGTTGTAAAATGTGTCAACAGATGTCACTGTTGCATTCTTGATAGCAATAATTTATCAAAGTAAAATAATATTGTATGAGTTATAAATAGTTATAAAAATAGTAAGGCTGGAATCACAGACTACGCATTAAAGATTGAGATTGAAAGATTGAAATTTGGTCAATTAAAATAATAGAGGAGCTAAAATTCCTCTATCCTCATTGGTTAAATTTCAATTTTCAATCTTCAATCTCAATCTTCAATGCATAGTCTGATTTCGGCCTAATAGAAGGGTCAACTGTACAAACAAGCAAATGATTAGATCACAAAATATATAAAAACTAATATCTACATTATATAAAAAATAATTTGAAATCAATTTCTTAATAAACTAGTTTTATTAAAATCTGTGATGTAATTATTCGTTCATAGTTGTGCATCAACCTTTTTATTACTTTTTATATATTTAATGTTTAATTTTTAATTAGAAGATTTTATTACACTTCAACTTTACAGCCAAAAAGAGATATTTAATTTTTAATATATTTATTATGTTTGTGAATATCTTAATGTTAATTTTTCTGTTTCTTTTTCCTAATAAAGTTAAAACTATTAAATCAATAAAGGGCAAAGAGCCGATAATATATAACAAAACTAAAACATTATAATTTAAATATAATGTAGCTACAAATCAACAAACGTTTTGACTCCGATCGGGTCATTTTCAATGTTACAATTTCAAAATTACAATATTAATATAAAATACAAAATTCGTTATCCTACAAAATTTGACAGTGTATTATTAATTTTTGTTCTTCGTGCTTTGAGTCAATAAGATGAAAATTCGAAAGTCGGATTGTATAAAAATTCTAAAAAATAATCCATGAGCAAATTTAAAAATAGTTAATCGTAAAAATTAATATTATATATAAAAGTTAAAACTTTTTCGCGCGTGTAGTAAAAGTATAATTCCAGTTTTTATTTCTTAATTATCAGGAAATCGTATGTACATAATATACAAAAAAAGGTATATACGTGTACACATCGTATACACGTATATACCTGACGTCAACTTGAAATTAATTCTCGCATTTCGCATTTAAATCATCCATTGGATATCCCACCTCGGAACCTTCGAACGCGCCGCATCGCTGCGCAACAGTAGCTTCTAGCTGTCTAATACGTCGCTTGAATACGAGGCGGATGTTTGCAATCTTGAAAGTGGTTTAGAGTGCATACTTGTATTTTGCACTTTTGCTCCGAGCACGCTGCGGAGAAGGAGAAGAAACGCGACGAGTGCGACCGGGAAGGGAAGGAAAAAAAAAACTGACGTACACGACACGAGTACATGTTTCGTCCCACCATTGTTGTACAGGAGATATACTCCATTATTACGCGATTGCAGAAAGTCCACGCAGAATGTCGCCGATTGAGTCAACGCCAGACCAGGGCTGGCCGGGACCAGAAAGCAGCTTCGGGCGGCTCGCTCGTCCGTGGCGTCCGTGCCCGTGCCTCTCTCTTTCTCCTTCTCTCCGTCTTAAATCTCCCACTCAGTCGTCACTGCCACCACCATCTCTACACGGCGGTCGACTCATCTGGCGCTGGTCACTGCTAACCTGACTTTATGTATGTTCCAAAGGCCACGCGCGATAGTTCAACCGTCGTGCGAGGACGGTGCAGCTGATAAACGCACGTACGCGAGCTCGACACCGAGATGGCACCGGCCCTCAGCAAATTTGCCAGCAAACGCACCCTGGCCGGCGCGGTCGCGGTCAGCACGCTCATCTGGATACTAAGGAATCGTAGCAGAAAGTCGACACAAAAGACCAAGTGAGTATAATTGCGCGTCAATCGTCATTTCGCTATCAACGAGTGTATCAATCGATGAGTGTATTTCTGAGTAACGTTGAGTGCTTGCAGGAACCAGTGGTCTATTAACAATGACATTCAGTATGTTATCAAGGAGGTAAGAATGTAACACAATAGATCTTTGTTGAAAAATTCTCTATTGCAATTCCGAGTGGCACAATTCATTGGCGAGATGCCTCAATTATGGTTCAAGATTGCGTGCTTCCCATTTAATGACACAAGTTGGCACAAAATCTTTCTTGGCATTCCAGTGAATAACAAAGATAGAATGATACTTGTGTCATTTTGTACTACCAAATATATGGAAAATACCTACTAACATGCATGGGGATACATATATTAGACTAATATTGTGCTACTAGGGAGTGCAATAAGAAGTAGAAATGAAACAAACTATACTCAAGCAGAACAAGTAACGATAACGTTAAAATTAATTATTACGTTAAAATTATTAATAATTAATTGGAAAATGACTTTCTATGATCATTTGGAACTATTTTGATTTTACTTTGATGTTATAATAATTTGTGTTTTGTTTAAATATCCAATTTATTGCACTAGTATATATCACTTCAGAATTTTTTTTTTAAAAAGAACAGAACTGATATCTTGATGCAAAAATAGATCAAGATTACATTGTTTATGTACTTCCATAGGAGAAACCAAAGAGTCCCAAGGCACAGGTCAATGCAGTCTTCTTCCGTAGGCTCTATCAACTACTTAAAATCGGTATTCCTGGTGTATTGTCGCCAGAGTTTGGCTTTCTACTTCTGGTGGCAACCGCCTTAATTAGCAGGACTCTGTGTGACTTGTGGCTTATCAAGAAGGGTACTTTGTTAGAAACGTATGTTCAGTGTTTTTGATCATTGACAGTAAAAAAATTTCATTTACCTGACGCATAATCTTGTTATCAGGTCAATTGTCAATATGGATCGTCCATTGTTCAAGCAACATTTGCTCCATATGTTCAGTATAGCACCAATGGTAAGTAGAGGTTTATTGGTACAGTTTACTTGAAGATTATATATGTGTAGCTTGATAATGAAAATCTTTCCACTATCAGATAGCGTAATTTCTTTTTTAAAAAGTTAATAATGACTGTATATTACAAAGAAAACAGCTTTGTTACTGTTTCAAATTTCTTTAATATATGATTGGTTTATATATATTAAAATCCAGTGAGGAATTAATGTTGAGACCAGTCGTATTAAAAAATTTTACAAATGTTGCAAAACTACTTTCTCTATACTGAACACATTTAATATGTTAATGTTGCATGTATTAATTTATTATATTAATTTAGATAGCGATTGTGAACAACATACTAAAGTATGCTATAAGCGAAATGAAGTTAAGATTGCGTACGAATATCACGCGTAATTTAGTGGATCATTATCTTAAGTAAGTAACTAATACATATTTCTTTGTTAATTGAACTTTGTTCGATTTTAGTTACAAAACAATAGCTTTTACAATTAATGTGTTCATTATCAATGCACATCTTAGCATAACTTTGCAAAATACTTGACCTATTGTTGACAATGTTGTAAGTTTCCTCTTAAATAATTCATTATAAACCAACTTACTTATGTCGGAAAGATAAATGAAATTGTTAATAATAATACTTAAAAACTAATTTTTGTTTTCGCAGAGGTTTTACCTATTATAAAATGAATAATCTGGATAGCCGAATCGCGAATCCGGATCAGCTGTTAACTACAGATATTGATAAATTCTGCGAAAGTTGTACAGATCTTTATAGCAATATTGCGAAACCTCTATTGGACATTGGTCTGTATGTACACAGATTGACAACTACTCTTGGCGGACAAGTACGTGTAACATAAACATTTAGCTTTTATCATTTATGTTTTTATTTCTACCAATATAGATTAATTTTAATTTCAATTTCAATTACTCTATTTTTTTCCTAATTTTTAGGAATAGAAATTATAATTACTCTACATCGATAGAGAGATGAACATTAGTGATTAGTATTTTATCACTACAAGATAATGTTACATTATCCATGTTTTTCCAGACGCCACTTTTGATACTCTCGTATTTAGTAATAGCTGGTACTTTTTTGACTCATCTTCGCAAGCCTATCGGGGCAATGACGGTCAAAGAGCAACGGCTAGAAGGAGAATATCGTCATATCAATTCAAGATTAATCGTTAACTCGGAAGAGATAGCGTTTTATGGAGGAAACAACAGGGAAAAATTGACGCTGTTAACTAGCTTTCACAAACTTGTGAGTGAACTTTATTTCCGAATATTATTTCGATATACTTACGAATAATATCACTTATTTTCGCAATGTTTTTTTTTATTATAGATGACTCATCTTCGTAAATTCTTGGAATTTAAGGCTTTGATGGGCATTATAGATAATTACGTTGGAAAATGTAAGATGCGATTTGTGATGAAAACTTAACGACACCTGTTTCATTTTATTTTATTGCTGCTTTTACTTTCTAATATTAATCGCCATATTTTCTGTTAGATTTCGCCACCATAGTCGGTTTCTACGCAGTGAGCATACCTTTCTTCCAGAAGAACCACCCCGTACTCTCTGGCACGCCCGATCATAGATTCAGATCGTACTACACGTACGGCCGAATGTTGGTGAAACTGGCCGAGGCAATCGGCCGATTGGTAGTGGCCGGCAGGGAATTGACGCGTCTGGCGGGATTCACAGCGCGTGTCACCGAGATCAAGATGGTTCTCGACGATTTGAACGCCGGGAAGTACGAGCGGACGATGGTCTCGGATTACAAGGAGAAAGTGATCGGTTATCCTGGTAAAGGCAAAATTGTGCCACGCGACAATATCATACGGTTCGATAATGTTCCCCTAGTGACGCCGAATGGAGACGTGCTCATCAAGGAGCTATCCTTCGAAGTGAAATCAGGAATGAATGTGCTGATTTGCGGTCCAAACGGTTGCGGCAAGAGCTCCATGTTTAGGATTCTCGGCGAAGTACGGCTCTATTATCTATCGTTATAGCTTATTGCTATTGTTTTATAATGTTTTTGTAAACTAATTTGATCATAAACTGTATCGTAATCTATTCAATTTTTACTATCGTTTCTTGTTATTAAGTTATTCTAATGTAGAGAATGATGTTACTAAGTTAGTTCTAATGTAGAGAATGATAAATTAAAAGTTGTTATTGAATAGCGCTTTAGCACAGTAACAGGTTTATATTTGTTATTGATTTTAATCAATTTGGATCATAATGTTTAGCTGTGGCCGATTTGGTCTGGAACCATTATAAAACCACCGCGTGGTAAACTCTTTTACATTCCACAACGTCCTTACATGACGCTGGGTACATTGAGAGACCAGATCATATATCCTCACACGAAGGAGGAAATGAAGAGACGTGGTAACGCTAATGATGAGGACTTGAAGAAGTTCCTAGAGCTGGTACAATTGACTCATCTATTGGACAGAGAGAGTCCTGTCAACAATGAAAAAGAGGGTTGGGATGCAGTGGCTGATTGGATGGATGTCTTATCGGGTGGCGAGAAGCAACGTATAGCAGTGAGTCCTTTTCTCTGTTTTTTTCTTACGCTTCAAGACTGATATTTATCATGTAAAATATCTTAATATCGTACCTTGTATCAATTATCTTATCGTTTGAAGTGGTGAAGCCACTTCATCCATTATAAACGTGTGTTTTATTGCTGCATTAGACTGCATTAAAACCTTTTTTTTTGTTTTCACTATATTTCAAATATATTTACTTCATTTTAAGTATAAGTGTATACTAATTTAATTATAAAGAACAGATCATATATTATTATTGTATTATAATGCTATAATAAAGTATTTCTCAATCGGTTTTGTTATTTGTAAAGATGGCTCGGCTATTTTATCATAAACCGCAATTTGCAATTCTGGACGAGTGCACGAGTGCTGTCAGCGTCGATGTCGAGGATTCCATGTACAGATACTGTAGACAAGAGAACATCACGCTATTCACAGTTTCACATCGTCGCTCCCTTTGGAAGCATCACGAGGTATCGCTGTCAATATATTTTTTTTTTATCAACAGATGTATTTATGTTTATCATATGACTTTTATGTTATTTTATTATTCCTTAATTTTCTATTTACTGCTTCTAGTATTACTTGCACATGGATGGCAGAGGAAGCTACGAGTTCAAGCCAATCGAGCAAGACACGATAGAATTTGGATCGTGAATTCTTGCGTCCCTTGCACACGTGAAAACACGTTAGTATGCAAGGGACATCTAATTTAGGTTTTTTTCCTTTTAGTCTATGATTATTCAACAGTTTCAGCAATTTGAGAGACGACATTTTATCTGTTAATCAGTAATTTTTATAATAAGTATAAAGTACGAAACACACGACGCGAAACCGGTTATTAAGTATTAAATCTATATATAATTACATAGATGCCTTTCTATGCAGAATGTACATGCACTGTACAGAACGTATGTATTATACAAATAGACATATAGTAGAGATAAACGCAACGTTGTCGCGATCATTTTCGGCGTTATCGTAAATTCCTTCGCGTAGATATGTAATCTGCAATGCACAAAGCTATATTTTTCGATTGATATTTTTCTACAAGATAATATTCTTGACAATATAGTATCGAATACACATCGAGCTTAAAACGTATGTGATGTCATTATAAATTACATATGATACTTTTAGATCCTCAGATCTTTTGAAGTATAAAGGACGATACAATTGAAAAATGCAGACAATAGGAATAGAGAAGAATAAATTTTAACCTATCGAAAACGTATATTTCAGGATATACGATTTTTGATAGATTGAAATTTATTTTTTATTTCTATTACCTATGCTTTTCAATTGTGCATTAGATTTTACTGCAAATCATAGACTTACATAATAGATCTTCCATTGGAGATGTGAGAACAATATTGATAAGAGAGGGCAGTAGTTGGTTAGATGCTTTCCTTGTTCATTTATGTAATATGTGATAGAGAAAGTAACAGATCACTTACATCTCTGTCTTTCATATGTTATCTTCAGCTGCCATGTATAAATGTATCATCTATTATATAAGTCTATGTTGTAAATATATGCAATTTCGTAGTGCTTAGAGTTTTCCAGTGCAAATTGAATTAATTGTCAGTGATGAAATAATTAGCGAATACTTGCCAAACCAAACAATGTAATTGATACCGCGAGAATTTATTAAGTTGTATCATATCGAAGAAAGTGTGTATATATATGTGTACATGACAGAATTTACTATGAAGTATGTTTTGTAAGAATATAACTAATATGTTATGTGTGGATCACATATGTTACACTTGGATAGATATGTAAATTGAACCAGAAAATTGTGACGATATTGTTGGACAATAGGAAGATTTTATATAATGAAAAAAGAGCAAATTAAAATCAGTAAAATATATACATACAAAATAACACATGGTGTAAAAATATAAGGTGAAACATTTCTGTGGATGTGCAGTAAGAGAGTAAATTTGGATTCACATTTTATTGGTTGTTCTAGTATGCTGGAAAGTGCATTTGGATCCAAATTTGAGATATGTTGTACATTTGAAACTTAAGATCAGTCAAGTATATGTTTGATATTATGGCGAAAGCGAAAAAAAGGAGTTCTAGTGCAGAAATAAAAAACATACCTTTTATTGGTTCTTTTCAGTATATTGTTTTCAGTATGGCGAAAGCCATTATGTGCAACGTTTCGCCTTGTCTTATTACACTGTAAAATAATGCTTCAAGGATCAGTAATTGTATTTCTTTCTCTTCCACGTATTGTATTGCGATTGTAGATTATTTTTCTATTCGAAATTATAACAAACGACACTAATCATTTCCGTTGATACTTAGGAAAAATTTTCTATTTTGCCTTATAATAAATATACACATCTAAGTAGAATTTAAGTATTTTAATCGATTTTCTCTATATATAACAACTTTATCCTATTCGAAACATTATACTTTCTCTATTACAACGAATAGCTTGCTATAATTGTTAAGAAAATATTTAATGGACTCGGACCTATAATTATGTTATCTATTTATAGAGTTCGAAATGAAATAAAAACTAAAATCAAAATATTTTAGCGAAATTTCTATAATAAATGCAAAGATATATTTTATGAAGAATAAAAGAGATTTTTCTAATCATGTGTGTGTAAGTCATTAACAATACTGTTTGTTTAAAAATTCATAAAACACCTTTAGTTTTAAGAATTCTTTAAAACGCAAAATAGACGTAAAATAATTTAATAATTTTGAATTCAGTTTATACCACTACGAAAGATTTATTAAAATGTCTTTTTAGATTTCTTTAAGAAAGAATTTGTCGGGAAATGATATTGCTTGGTAATATGATAATTTTTAATTGATACAAAAAATTGTTGATTTAGATTTAGGATACTTCGATTTAATGTATTTTTTCTGTCATTTTTATGGATGTAGATTCTTAGAATATAATGCAATGTTTTGTATTTTTATTAAACATTTTTCTATTTATAGATCTAAATTATTAGAACTTTTAATTTCTATATTATATGTAGTGTTATTTTTGGATCGTAGTGCCATGATTTCTTTCCTTCCTAATATTTAATTTTAATTTCCGAAAAATTTTCATGAGAACAAGAAATATATCCGTTTATTTATTAAATCTTGCAAAATAAAGAGCAGTGTCTTTATAAGAATATCTTATTTAAAAAATGTTTTAAATTAATTTTTAAAAATAAAAGATAAATCCGAACAATTGCTTTAAAAAATAACCATAACACGGTTGTTCCTGCTTTAATTAGCTTAAATTAATAATTTAATTATAATTATAGTTAATGATTGCCGATTTAATTAATCGATATTCAATTAATCACAAGATCGCTCAACTAAATGCACGAATTATAAATATTTAATTCGTTATTTCTGGTCTAATCTTTCCTTCACGTCTTAAACAATAAAAATTAATATATTTATTTATTATACTTCACTGAAGAAATTTAATAAAAATATAAACATTTATTTGATTAAACCACGATAAGAATCATTAATTTGATTTAAGAATCACTATTTTATCGAATACATTTCTTTACTGCAAGTAAATATTTCGTATTACTTACAGAAATTCTTAACATTTAGTAAATTTTTTCCAATACAATTAATAATTCTATCCGTACAGATGGCTGGTAATTCGAATAAATTGCGCGGCCACGCTCGGTTCAACTCGGCTCGCGTCGCGTCGCGTTTCTTCGGCGGCACGGCCGCGCTCGGCTCGACTCGGCTCACGTCGTGCCACTTCGACCACCACTCGTCTCGTGGAACGACTTACGGCGCGGCGGCAGCGACCGGGTCTGGGAATCTAGCAGAAGCTCTGGGAGCTCTAGTTTTCAGTTTGCTGGTAGCAGGCAGTCTGAGGCACTCGAGTGCTCGAGGGAGGGTCGTAGTGCGTATTGTGCGTGTCGTGAATACGTGAAGTGTGCGCGAGCGCGTGAGAAAGAGAGAGAGAGAGAGAGACACACACACATTGGATTCTCGTGATAGGAGAGGCGGAGAGAAAGGAAAGAAAGAAAGAAGGAACACGAAGTCTGTCATTTACCGAAGGAAAGAGGCAGAGGTGGCGGGGGAAACTCGTCGCGTTGTATACGTAGGGTGTCACAGTGCCGTCCCATCGAGAGAAGGAAGAGAACGAGGAGTAAGTATTATAAAAGAGGAGGAACGAAGTAGTGACGAGTGAGTGTTCTCTCCCTTAGGCTAGGCGAGACCTCGCGAATACTTCATATCGTACGTCGCTATCGATCGCTTGTCTCGCCTCCGACGTGCTTCTTTTTTTTTTTCTTCTTGGTCCTCCGTGCCTATCTCCTCGCGTACCGTCGTCGTGCGGACGCCACGAATTCCGCTTTCCTCTCGCGCCGCGTAATACACCCCTCCTCTCTACTACTTGTCTCTCTCCGTTTCTCCCTGTATGTCCCTTTCCCCCTCCAGTGCTCCGTTTCGTCCGTCGCGCTTGTTGTCCGCCACCTCCTCTTCGCCGCGTGTGTGCTTCGGCGCGGCGGCGGCGGCAGCGGCCGCTCTCTTCGGTCGGGGTGCCGGCTGCCTTCGCTCATTCCCGACGCTCCGTTCCGTGAGGAGCGGGAAGGGAGGAAGACGGCAAGGCGGCGGCGGCGGGACGCCGGGAGGAGTACAGGTGCAGGTGCATGCATATAGACAGCGGTAACGACGGACGTACGCGCCACGAGCACGGCGAACACTTGGGGAGAGCGCGAGGTCCCGCGAGGGAGGGAAGAAAGGTGAAGAAGAAGAACAAGTCGACGGGCGAGGAAAGAGAGGTGAAGCAGAAAGAAGGAGGAAACGGCGGCAGCGGACGGGGGAGACGTACACGCGAGAGAGCGCGTAGCGAGCGGTGAGCGTTGCTCAGTCGTGTACGCGAGTGGTCTTCGACGTCTCCGTCCTCGTGCACGGTTTTTCGTTTATCGCCGCGCGGGTGCAGAGAGTGCCGCACGGTAAATCTCGACGACGGTAGTCCTCTCATCGAGCAACCGTGGCAGGATGGACGACACCGCGGGCCCGCCGCGAACGTCGGACGTAGCGTCGGCGATGGGAAGCGAGAGCGACGACGCCACCACTACCACCACCACCACCACCTCGAAGATGCGGACGGTCGACGACGACGACGCGAGTGCCGCCCCCGCCCCCGCACCTACCACCGGCGACGCCGCCGTCGATCCCGTCGAGTGTCATGACCGGGGCTCGATAACGACCGCGTCCCCGGGGCCACACGGCGCCGTCGCCGCTGCTGCTCCTGTTACTACCTCTTGTCCGATGACGACGACGACGACGACGACGACGCCGCCGCCGCCGCAGCAGCAGCAGCCGCCACCGCCACCGCCGGCGGCACCGCAGCCGGGGTGTGGCTGCGTGGCCGCGGCCAACGCGACCACCGCGGTCGACAAGGACGAGATCACCGTGTGTATCACGCCGACCACCGGCGGCCAGTTCGAGCTCGCGGTGGACCGTAATGACACCGTGGAGAATCTCAAGAAGATCATCTCCAAGAAACTGAAGGTCGCCAAAGAGCGCATCTGCCTGCTGCATCGCGAAAGGTGAGTGGTGACTCCCCCTGTTCCCCCTTTCCCTCTCCGCCAGGGAATTCTCAGCGCGATTTCGGCGATCTCTTTGGAGAATGTGGAGTTGGAGCGAGAAGGGGAAAGAAGGGAATAACTCGTATGTGTGAGATAAAGAACGCGGCGGACAAAGCTCCCCGTCTGAGGATCATGACTCTCAATGCTCTGAACTCACCAAGATCTTTTGCGATGAATCTCGTGCATACTAAAAAATGGAGTTAATAATAATAACTACTAAATGTTGAGTGAAATAATGTCAATCATATGTTTAGGTATGTAACATAAAAAATAATTTTGCTTCTCCAAATATTTATTAAGTTCAGTAATATTACCATTCGCTTGGTAATAATTACTAAATATTTAAAAAAATAAAATAATTTTTGTTTATATTTAAGCATTTGATTGTGAAATTATTTCATTCAGCATTTGACAGTTATTGCCAGATTCTTTTCTTTCAATGAAAAAATTGAGTAAAAATAATCCAGCTTAAATGATGAAGAAATTAAGGCTTGTACTTATTCATTTAGTCAGACCTTATATTCTATTTAAGGTTTCCTTAAATTGATCTTTAAATGCTCGATAGCCAATAAAATAATTCTTAGGACATTTGAAGATAAATTTAAGGAAGCTTTAAATATAAGGCTTCACTGTGAATACGGACATGAAAAATTTTGAGAAGCTAAAATAATTTCGATCAAATATTCGATTGAGAATGTAGGTATCAGTGTTATAGTCTGTGCAATTTGGAATTGAAAATATGTACTTTGATAAAAAAAAATGAATACATACATACTATTATAAATTATATACATATTCATTACAGTCCATTTTATTACCATTAATATTTATATTTAACGATGCAATTTTATAGTTTAATGAAAATTTTCTCATTTTACCTCAATTATTTTTTAAAAACATATTTATATTGAAATCATTTTTAATCAGGTTCTAAATCGTCGAACTTTTGTATTATTTTTAATACAAAAATATCAGTAATTTTTTAAATAATTTTTTTATTTTGTTAAAAAAATACGTGTAATCTTTAATATAACTAAAACTAACTAAATACTAATTTTATTTTTCTAAATGTTATCTTATTTTTCCAATTACCAAACGGTTAATTATCGTTATTATGTTATTTACATTTCCTAATATTTACTGCAATGATATGCTAAACGAAATACGTTTAAGATGTCGAGAATTTGGGGAGCCTCACCAGGGCCGTCCAAAATCATAAGAATCTGCATAATTTGAATAAAAAAAACCACGTATATTTTAATTAAATAGTATGAAATATATTTAGTATGCAAAAATAATGAAATGAAAAGAAGCTGATTTCTTGTATAATTTGTTCTTGTGAAAATTCAATGCCATTTCGACATTAAATATCTTTTCAGAATGGCTGATGACCTATTACTTTTTTTTGTTACAATCGTAAATCTTCAAACTATGTATTATAATCTCATTTTTTAGAGAAATTTATAGTAATACTTGTGTGCAGTTAGTAAAAAAAACTTTTCCGAGATAAGGACCTGTCACTGAGTGTTTTATACATTAAAAGTTACATTTTCAACTTATTTTTCTCTTATTTCATCATTCAACTATCCTTTTGCACACGTCAAGTTCGGTACTTCAACTTGATAATATAAAGAAATTAGACATTTTTATGATAACTCAATTTATTAAAGAATCATCTTAATAGCTATTAACAGACCTTTTTTCATTGTGCGGTTCGACTCTTTTAGGTCGCACTCGCGTAATATGTTCGCGTTTAAAATGGAGCAAACAGAAAGGAACAGGTGACATGACATGGATAAGCGTAACTATTATAATAAAACCATGTAACAATAAAAGATTACAGCCCTTCTTATTTTACATTACACAATTAGCTTCACTCTATTGTTTTTCTCGCTGAGAGCCCAAGTTTATTACATCTTGAGATAAGCCCGGGTTCTCGGCGAAAGATAAAAAAAGACAAATGTTCGCGTCTGAGAAGGTGTTTGAAGAGAAAGTATGTAGTTGAGAAGAATAGATTGGAGATCTCGATCGCACCTGAGATTTTAACTGCGTCTTTTTATCGCTCCCCGCTGATTCTACTCTTAATTCGAGGCAATTGCATTTCGACAACGATCACTCGGAAAGAGAAGCTTTATCTGCGGAAAGATACTAGAAAACGTAGTATCAAATTTAGCTGCATTATTAAAAGAGTATGCATAATTGCATAAACAGCAAAGATAAAACTTTATTTTTGTCTGATGAATCAGCAGACTGCAGCACTCGGGACCAGCTTATAATCTACATGGCACAGAAAAACAAATTCTAAAATAACAGAAATGGACAGTATCTAGAATACTATTTAAATAAAAAAAAATTAGCAAATTAGGGACAAAAAAACTTAGAAAGAAGTAAAATTGTACAAGTCACACGATTTTCAATATGCATATACTCGTTTTACTGCCGTCGCATAAGTCCTGAAACACAATAGGTGTAGTAAGCCTTGAACCGTAAGAAAGAAATCAATCAATCCATACAGTCGATTATATTCGACTATGATTGGCCAATACCTTATGGCTTACAGCTTACTTCTGGCATTACATCTATTGTTTTGGAACAGATATATTTTACAATATATATATTTTTAATGGGTCGCCTATATTGCGATTAATAAAAGTTTCTCTTTTCCCGAAATCGAACAGAAATATTATACGTCTCTTGACCACACGGCGACTTTATCACGTTCTCTGGAAATGAAATGAAACGAAAGGATACGCGTACTCGGTGAACCACGGCAAAAAAGGCACCAGGCTGGGCGTAAAAAAACGTAAGGCGCGGGATGAATCACGAGGAATTATCGTCGGTCAGCTGAAACGTTCGTGATATCCGGTGACGTGCACGACGAACGATGTTTGTCTCTCTCGCGAGCGTGAGCGTCGAGTTGTTATCCCAATCGAGAAGACGTCTCGAAGGTGGAGACGAAGGAGAGTCGTCGCGACGTCCAGAAGGCCTGAACGCGGCGCGTATTTCGCTTGTCGCTTCTATTTTTCCCACGAGCGCGACGTGCGTTTGAATCGGACCTCGCCCCATGCTTCGGCTTCGTAAAGAAAGAAGAGAAAGAGTATGCGAGAGAGAAAGAGAGAGAGAGGGAGGGAGGGAGGGGGGAGAAGAGGAGGCAAAATAGAGACCTGAGTAGAGAGAACGAACGTGTGCAGACTCGTCCTTCGTGCCGGTGCACATTTGGACGCCAAGAAGAGCAGCAGGAAAAGGAAGAAAAGAGAGAAAGAGAAGGACAAAGTGCATACATACACCCGGTGTGTACCGATATACCGGGTATCTCAGAATTAGCCGTCGATACTTCATATAAGTACTTCATAGAAATTAAAGAAACGAAGTGTTACATCGTTATAACTTACATTTTAATGTTTATTTCTATCAAAATAGATTAATTTTAATTTCGGTTCAATTTGCTGTTTATTTTTTTCTTATTTTAAGAATTAGAAAAAGATAAAGAGAGTAAAATTAATTTATATTGGACAAGGTCATCTGTAAAAGCGAGCTGATGTATTTTGATTGATAAGATCAAATTGAAGAAAAAATAAGAACTTGGTTATCTTAATTCCTAGATAGATATTTTTATTACTATATTTTTGGATATTTTACTTCGATAAAACAAAATTTTGCTTTTAGAAACCTTGGAAAATTCGAGGAAAGACTACGAGACACGAAAATGATGATGACTTTATCGTTATCTTCGTTTATTGTTCTAGGATGAAAATATTCTTACAAGCATGTGTCGCAAATTCATCGAATGTATCCGGAGGTCTGTTTTTGTCTGAATTATCTGAATTAGTGCAGGAACAAAAAACAGACCCCAGGTTGAAAACAGGATTTTCAAATTTAATTGTGACGTTCATTCATTAAGTACACTGAGAAAGAAAGTCAGAGAATGTACGCAAGCAAATTACACTGTTAACTTCATAATGTCAAATTATACCCACTTTTAGTTATCTTTAATTATTTCTGTGTAGATCGTCACTGTTTCTCTTAACTGCTTTTACTTAATATATTATTAATTTGATTAAAATAATAGAGTTAAACTTAACTCAAGATGTATTTTTGATCTTCAATTTATTTATTATTTACGTGCATGTTAATATGGATGATATTTACTCTGAAACTAACTAGAGAAAAAATGGATTAATTTACATTTTGATATATGTATGAAAGTTAAAAATAACAAAACGTTATTTAACTTAAGTCTTAAGCCCCTTAGAGGATTGATTGAATACCGTTGTTCTTTTGACATTTCTACATATTTCTGTGAAACATAGGAATACAATTTTATTTTACCGTAGTAAGGATTTATTTTAGTGAAATAAACATTATATCTCACAAATAAATTTTTTAATATATTTTTCTCAGTGTCTTATCGCTCGGGATGTTAAATGTTAAAATATTAAATAGACAGTAATCTATCTCATCTCTCAATCTTCATTATTAAATCGAGATTGTACGTTCCTAGGAAATTATTCGAAATTAAATACTCATTCTACGAAACATTTTTGAAAGCAGAGCTCTCAAAGTTTGATTGTGCAGACGTTATTCATTCATTAAATATCGCTCGCGCGTAATGTTAAATGCTGAAAAATTAAATTTGACACGTCTTCCTCTCGGCCCTTATCATCAAATCACGATTGTACGCTTTTAAGAGATTATTCGAAATTGGACACGCGTTTCAAGAAACTTTTCTGTAGTAGCACACCGTCGCCGTTTTGTTTATCTTATCAGTTACAAAGTTTCTCGAGTTTCCCAACGCAGACATCTATTCTTCCCGATCTTCTGTTACTTCAGGTATTTTATTATAATATTATACGATGGATATATAACATACCGACACATATATCACAATAATTTGGCCGTATAAAAGGGAGTAAGAGTACAAAAATGAAATAGACACGAAATAAAGAAGTCATACTTTATGT